GCGGAACTGACGTGCAGATGCAGCTGCTGGAAATAGTGTCCTTGATGCCCAGAAGCAGCGAGCGCGATGCTCCAGCTAAAGCTGAAGCTGCTGCTTTTTGTGCGCCACCGCGCTGCTGCGCCCCGACGCCGAGGCGGACGTTTGCAGGCTGAGACGCTGCAGGCTGCGTCCGAGCGCGGGCGATGGCGACAGGGACAACAGGTCGGCATGTGGCGCGAGCGGGGATGACGTGACTAAAATGGGCGAGTAGCGGCGCGCTAGTTGCGTTGGTCGTACTAATTGCGCTGGCACCGCCGCTGTTGCTGCCGCTGGCGCTGTGCAGTCCGGCGCGCCCGCCGAGCCGCGGCGTGGGCTCGGAGAGTTAAGCGCTGACGCAGAGGCGAGTGAGCGCGGGAGCGAGGTGCGCCAGTGCGAAGCTGGCCATGTGCAGGGACGAGCGCTGCTGTAGGTGGGGTCTTCCGAGCGCGCTTGCGCTGCTGTGGTAGTAGTAGGCACGCGGCTGCGCATGCGGCATGTGATATGCCGGGCTGGATCTTTGTGTAGGGGTGCTGAATACGGGCGAGCGCCACGCTAGTGCAGCATTTTAGATTAGATAGGACTTGAATGCAAGCCGCTCCTTCGGAAGCCCCGACGTAGGGGTTCGAGACCCGCCTTCTCCCCCCTCCGCCCTTTCTCCCCTTCCTCCTCCGGTGCACATTGCTATCCAGAGAGGCGAATATAACTGGGCTCGAACAACTGATGCCTTCGACCACCCTCTGACCCACCATCCTGATCACCTCCCCTCGATCTCCCCCGTTCTCCCCAAAACAACAATAAAAACTCACACGCACACCAATACGCCTCAAAATACAGAACCAAGAGATTGAGGAGATCGTGCCCGGCCGCCCCCTCGATACAGGAACGAGGGCATCTAAAGCTCCACCTCCGCACAACGACGTACTTTTTGGCCAAGGTAGATGGAGGGCTCCGTGGATGGCTCACCGTCGCCGGTGCGTGGTTGTTGCAATTTACCATGGTGAGAGCTGTCACTTCTTTTGGCAGCTATCAGACGGTTTATCAGAATAGCTGGCTGAGTGTGCGTACCGCATACGAGTCTCCGCCCATCGTCGTACGCTCAATATGCATCCTTCCGCAGACATACTCTTCCTCAAGCATCTCGTGGATAGGCAGTCTGCAGCTATTCTTGAAATTTTTATGTGTTACGCGGCAAGCGGCGATTTGGCAGCGCCTACACTGCCAACACAAAGCTCACTGTCCTATCCATTTGCTTCTTTTCCGCGGACCCACTCGCCATCTGAACACATGACTAGCTTGGGAATCGTTGGTGGCTTCCTCCTCGACGCGGGCCGATTCCGTGTGACCATCGCCTATGGCACCTTGCTTTTCATTTTCGCCTTCTTTATGCTAAGCCTGTGCCAGGCAGGAATGTTTGCTCCCATCCTCTTAAGTCAAGGGTGAGCTTCAGCGTAAAGCTTGCACATTACACATACGGCTGACACTTCCAACAAGCATCGGCATGGGCGCCGGTTTGGGCTTCGCTTACTTGCCTGTGTCTGGAGTGGTGTCTCAACACTTCAACGAACGGCGCGGCTTGGCAATGGCGTAAGTACGACTGGCACGTCTCTTGGCGGATTTGCCTTCTCGGTTCTAGCTAGCACGTTATTCCAGCCACTAGGATTCGGTTGGACAGTTTGAGTGTGTGGCTTCATCGTACTAGGTTGCCTTCCTCCAGCGTTCTTTCTGATCCAGGAGCCGGTACGGAACGGTGAAAGGAAGCTCCTCACCAAGTGCACGGCAAAGAAGAACTTCAGGAAGATGTAGGAACGTTGTCCAGCTCAGGCAACAGCTCCAATGACGCTACCCCTCTCCCTACAATCAGATCACCACTGCGCGATCCGGCGTATGTCACAACCATTTCAAGCGGTTTTGTCGTGTCCCTTGGGCTTTACTATCCCATGTGAGTGAGCCTAGGGTGGTGACGGTTCGGCAAGCTCACGGTTCGCTCACCTTTCTCGGCTCCACAGTTTTGCAATCGAAGCGTTTGCGCTCGACAGAGGCATCCATCCAGACCTAGCCTCATGGTTGATGTCCCTCTTGAACGTGTCAAGTGTTCTAGGGCGACTCATACCCAATTATCTAGCCGACCACTGGGGAATGTATGAGGTGAGCGAGCGGGCACAGGTCGTTAGCACGCTCATCAAGCTGCTGCGCTTTTGAATTTGCTTTATCTCCCGGACGGTAGCTCTACGTGCACTGTACGACGGCGGCAGCGGCACTCCTGTTCGCCTTTCCAGCCTGCACAACAGCTGGTCCCATCGTCGTCTTTGCAATTCTGTGAGTGAGATATTGCTGAGAGTGATAGAGAGAGCACAGAAGGCTGATCAGACACTGGTTCTGCGCCTTATAGCTATGGATTCTTTTCAGGATCGAGTGAGTGCAAGGGTGTCAGAATGTGCCTTGAGAATGGGGTGCTGATGATCGCTTTCAACTGTTCGGGCAGTCGTGTCTCTCTACTTTCCGACCGTCTCATCGCTTGATCCCCCACGTCGCATCCATTGGTCTTCGCCTGGGTTTGGCGTGTATGCAAGTTGGGGTCGCTTCGCTAGTTGGAACGCCTATAGCCGAAGCTCTCGTCGGATCTGGCAGGCCTGCCTCTTTTCGCCGATGGCCAGCAGGCGCTTATTTTGGAGCCGCGGCAGAGATACTCAGTGCTGGACTTCCCGCCGGTGCATGGTTTTCAGTCAAGCGTCGGTCTTGTCCGGCATATGCGTGATGCCTCTCTTCGAGACAAAGCCCCATTTGATCTCAAATACTGCTCACAAAGTCGAACTGTTGTGACCTTCCACTGGCAGAGACTCATGCACAGACCTGTACCCATGGGAAACGTGAATCATGGATGGTTGAGAGAGAGAATCTCCGCTTCAATGGGAACGCGCTGCCTTAGTGTGACGGTGAGCGGGGGTTTGAACAACTCCCTCGCGGCTTGGTCGCTTTCCTTGCAGGAGTACACGACTTTTCAGAAGCCTCCCGTCCGGCATAGGCTTGGCTTGGCTAATGGGCAGGAGCACAGCACCATCAATAAGAGACGGCACATACACGGTGGCCACAGGCAGCGTTTATAAATTGCTAAGAGTGTCCATTCATCGAGGGCGTGAACCTGAGTTCAAGTATACCGTGAGCTCCACACATTCCTGGGCCCCCGTAAGGCAGCCTAGTCAACGATTACGACTTGAAGTTGCACTATTCCTTCTTATCAATTCTCACCGTCACTCAACAGTGACTGCAAATCGGTGAGCAGGAACTGAGTAGCGTATACTGAGAACGACTAAGATTGGGGACACGTTGCTCGCCGGACTTGGCCAAGTTACGAGGCTGGCAACATTGGCGCCAACTGCAGAGCTACAGCAACGAAGCACAAGGACTGTCAGTCCAGGAATAGTGAAGAGGCGACCGACGAACGGACGCAAGATAGTAGAACAACATCTGCAACGGAATAACAGTCACGAGTCCCTGTACCCAGTCAACCGCGCAAAGAATGAAGATGACCTTGTACTCTGCCCGTTGCAAATGACGATTCTCGTTGCGCTCAAGAAGGACTTGTAGTCGCCTCCAGGGACTTCGAACGAACTTGCCTGGAAGAGCTCCCCAGCGAGCCCCTCGTCTTGCTCGTTCTCCAGAGACTCCCACATCGACTACATCGCATCACGGCTACCGCCTCGAAGGATGATGCACCTGAAGGGTG